TGTATTAATCTTTTTAACTTCCTCTTACTTGTAGTGCATTTTAAGGAAGAGTTTTAATTTGTTGTATATTTTACCGGATATAAAAAGTTTTATACAACTTTTTTCTCTCTAATATTTTCAATTTTATAATTAATTCCGTCAAATGTATTGTAATAATGAGAGAAAGTCCTCTTTAAGGGTACGTAAACGTCACATTACTCTGTGGTTTGACATTCTGTGTGTGTTATTAAAAAAAATTGTCGCTCTGTTGATGTTTTCATTGCACTTAAATTTTATAATTAAAAAGTTGTCTCTAAGCATAGAATCTAGAATCTAGAATGAGTTTAGAATCTGAACTTTAGATTATGTTATTTTATATATTTTATTTTATGTTTATATTTTAAGTATGCTTTCACGTATTAATTTAGGAATTGTTTATTAAAATCTGAATATTGCGAAAAGAGCAAACAGTGTTCACTTTTATTTATAACTTCTATTAATAATAATGGCATTTTGTTGTACTGTATATGTTCAATAGACTTTTAACTTAATTTTTCTTTGTATTATTCTTAATCTTGAACTAATAGTTTTGTTTACGTCTTTTAAAATTGAGTCCTCAACCAAGTAGATTAATTTAATAGATTTTATTTTTGTATTTTTGCATGCTTAATGAATTTATTTTGTAATATTGTAAGGTGATTGTAAGATTGAAACTATGATATGGATATTTAATATTATAAATTTAATAAAATTTTATTTTTTTATCATTTGTTGTGATGAATATTTAATTAGTATTTGAATGACACTAGTTTTGTAAAAATATTTGATTTAAATATTTTGATGTGCTTTCGTAAGGTATAAATTTTTAAGTTTTAGATAATTAGATAATATTTTATGCAACTTTATTGAAAGTTTACTAGAAAGTTTGGAAATTTATTTCATCATATTTTTGGTGAAAAATAACAGCTATGTTGACAAAATAGTTGTTTACAAATTTATCGATTTAATACATTATATAGTTTTATTCAATTAAATAATTATTTAATATCTTTTATATGAAATAGCAATAATTTTAATTAGCATAACAGTAATATACTTCACTTTTATACCATTAATGTATTAGATTGGCCTCTATTCTACTCAATACCATGTGTTCACTATTTTTAATTTGACGATTTCATGCCAGAGTTTATAGATTGAAGGCTAGAATTCATGGTATTATTATAACCATATACTGTATCAGTAGATCATATATACCAGTAGTGTATAATTAATTCAATCTAACAATTATTAGATAAAAATTATTTATATTTTGTTTTAATTTTGTAATAAATTCTCAATAAGAATACAATAAATTTGGTGAACAGTATATTATATAATATTAATTAGTAGCAAGTAATTGTGAATTTGGCAAACAATGAATTGCATTTTACACATCCATTGCCACAGGGATGACACAGATAATTCTGCCTTTTATAACCTGGAGCATATACAGTAGCTTGAGCATTTAATTTTAAAACAATCATAAATTAAGAATATTTAGAACAGGGTTCTAAATAATTTACTGTTAAATATCTGTTATCTGCAGTAAAAGCTAATAGCAGCTGAGCTTGGTCATTGCCATAATGCACATAACCAGTATAATGCAAATGTTATACTGTAAAAGTGTTTAGTAGGAACTTATGCTTCATTTAATCATTAGTATAATATTACATTAAAAACAAACTTCAATAAATATTATTTTTATATCCAATCAATAATATTATTATGAAGTGATGGCAAAATTTGCTGAAATTTTCATGTCATGCGTGAGTGTATGTGACGTCCTCTCCGGCGTCAAAGAACTCCATAGTATTTGTTGGTTTGGTTCCCAATTGTTATCACAAGTGATTCCGGCTCTCCACTCAACACAACCGACAAATTTGATTTGATTTTGAAATTTTCTGCAAAACTGTGTATTTTTAGACAATTAAAAAATATGAAAATACT